TATATATGTGTGTGTATATATATATATATATATATATGTATTACATACACACACACACACACACACAAAGTACTGTTATGGATATATTTTCTTGTATTTTTCTATAATAAGCATTTGTTAGCTTTCTATTCAAAAATGGTTAGAGAATAAAAAATGTTTATCAATGCTATAGAGTGGAGTTATGAGACGTTTTAATTTTCTATTTCATGTTCCCTGTGATGTTTGTGTGTTTAAGTGAACATATAGTTAGGTAAATTTTAAAATAGTCTCATTTCTAGGGTGGGAGGGGAGGAAAGACAGTTGAGCAGAGGTCATTACTCCAAAAATGATAAATAGATGTCCAATAAAGACATGAAAAGATGTTCAATATCCTGAGCCATTAAGGAAATGCAAATCAAAACCACAGTTTGATACCATTTCACACCAACTAGGATGGATAAAATTTAAAAGACAGACAATAAGTGTTGACGAAGATGTAGAGAAATTTGAAACCCTTATACTTTGTTGGTAGAAATGTGAAATGGTGTACCCACTGTGGAAAACACTTTGGCATTTAAAATCTGTTGTACTATAGCCTACATGTCCTGCTGCCTAATTCTTCAATAATGTAATAACCTTAAGATTAGTTTTGTTTTTTTCAGCTAGAAGTTTATCTGGTTCTATTTTGCTCACCTTTTAAATCTAATAAACAGTCTTGTTTTTTATTTCTTCATGACTCACCAGAGGTAGCCTCTATAATAAATTTATGTGGCTATGAATAAACTCTTTTAGGATTTAAAACATTTCACTGATATAACTTAACCATCCTAGCAGGGAATAAGCTTATCCCTCAGTACTAGTCACTTCATTCATTAAATTGTTTATTTAGTCAGTCATAGAATACTTACATGTCCACTCTGAGGCCAGTGGATATAGGGACAGATAAGGATCTTAAAGAACTTGTAGGGTTTGATGGGATAAAAAAGTTGCACAGAAAATTCTATAATATATATGGTGAAACCCACAAGAAGTATGGAGGTTCAGAAGAGGAAAAGATTTCTTCTAGGGAAGAAAAGAGACTGAGAAGCGGAGAGGGATCTTGGTACAGGAGAAGGCAAAAGGTTCCACTCAGTGGTCATGCAGACCTCATTTGAATACTGCCATCAAATGCTTGGAACCTTTAAAAAACAGGTAAAAGAGCTTTTTGACATTGTGTTGTCTATATTGTTCACTGTTGACAAGTATGTCTTTTTTCCTTAGCTGGTCTGAAAAATCCTCTGATGGAACATGGTAGATCAATGTACCCATTTGCTGTTCAAGTTACTGCCAAATAATTAAATTTTTCATAAATGCTGATTTTCTTTTTTTTTCATTCCATTTAAAATTGTTTAGTTTGCAGGATTGATAGCACAAAGATTTAAACAGTTCACTGCTGAATTTCATCTCATCTACCTTTAAAAAACTATCATTGATGTTAAGTGAATTGAGATGAATAGTAAATAATAGTCATGAACTCTTGAAATTTACTGTTACTCATGAGTCATGTTTTTGTACCAAGCCTTTAGAATTAAGTAGTGAGCAAAACAGACATGGTCTTTGCCCTCATGGCACTTATAGTGAAGAACAAATAATTACATTGAGTCTGTTGTGATAAGTTAGATATAGTAGAGGTTCATTAAATATCAAAGAAAGTTTACATCCAAGTAACCTCTGAATTTATATTTCCTTTCTATAGCATATATGTGTGTGTGTAAAATCTCCAATTACTTTATAAGGGAATGTCGAAACTAGCATTTATTGAGCTTCCACTCAGCAACAGCACTGTGTATACACTGTATACAAAATATTGGTAGGAATGGCATTGTCAAAAACACACACAAAAAGGACAATCAAAGCAAGGCATTAATGGAGAAATAAAAAAACTTGGGAAGTTTCTCGTCTCACCTTTCTTTTTTCTTCTTACAAGATTCTTCTCGATGAACTATCTTCTACTAAACACTGGGCATCCATGCACGTTTCAGACCACAGTGGATTTCACTACCGCCAGTTTTTGCTGAAGTCTTTGACTAGCCAAACTGTGAAAGACAGTTCTGTGTTGGAGCAAAACCCTTTGAGAAGTGAGCCAGCCCTACTTCTTCCACAAGATGAAGCAGCAGCAGCTTCCACAGAGGAACCAAGGATAAATATTCCCCATCTTCTAGAGGAAGAAGTTGAATTCACCACTGATCTTATTGATTCCTACCCAGGACATGAAACCCTTTGGTGTCATAGGTAAGAGAAGGGAAAATTCATTTCTTTCATGAAGCTGTGTGTGTCCTTATGAGACCTACAGAGGTCTTGCATCTGATGCCTGCCTGTGTGGGTGAACATGTGATCTGCTTGTGGAGCTTTGCCTCAGTGATTTGGAGGAGTTTGTGTAACCATATCCTCCTCACGATCATCATCTATAATCGTTTTCCTCGTGTAGATGTTTGCCTACAGCTTAGCATGGTGGTATTCACCCTTGACTGTACAACAGAGTAATATGTTACTTCCAAACAAAAAACAAAAGTTTCTGCACACCGTCCTTGGAGATACTGATATTTAGCATATCTGGGATGGAGCACTGCCTTTTTTTTTTTAATATAAAGGAAAAAATCCTAACAGGGAAATAGGATATACAGTTAGACCATTCATTAGTCACTGAGACTAGCTAAACTTTATGCTTCAGACCATTATCCTATCTAATAATAGAGAAACATGGTAATTAGCCGTACCTCTGCTACCCTTCCCATTGGCTAATCAGGGCGATATGCAAATTAACTGCCATCCAAGATGGCGGCCGACAGCCAGGCAGCTTGAAGCCAACAGGAGGTTTGCTTGCTTCAGTGATGGAGGAAGCCAACGTTCCCCGCCTGCCTTGCCGGCCTCTGAGCTTGCAGTTTAAGAAACATTGTTACAAATATAGAAGCTAAACAAAACCCCAGAAACCTGCTTTCAGCCAGCCGGGCCTCAGCCAGCAGGACCGCAACATTGTTTCAATTATAGAACAAACGCAGATCCCTGCTTTCAGCCAGCCGGGATCTCAGAGCTGGAGT